GCAAGTAGTTCGAGTGATGGTTTACAAGGAGAAAGTAGTTTGAGTGAAGGTTTACAAGAAGAAAGTAGTTCGAGTGAAGGTTTACAAGAAGAAAGTAGTTCGAGTGAAGGTTTACTAGAAGAAAGTAGTCAGAGTGAAGGTTTACAAGGAGAAAGTAGTTTGAGTGAAGGTTTACAAGAAGAAAGTAGTTTGAGTGAAGGTTTACTAGAAGAAAGTAGTTCGAGTGAAGGTTTACAAGAAGAAAGTAGTCAGAGTGAAGGTTTACAAGGAGAAAGTAGTTCGAGTGAAGGTTTACAAGAAGAAAGTAGTCAGAGTGAAGGTTTACAAGAAGAAAGTAGTTCGAGTGAAGGTTTACTAGAAGAAAAAAGTTTGCATGAAGAGTTCGATATTTATAAAATTCTAGAAATACACGGAGATGTGGAATCATTAATTTATGGGTTCAAAGGTCGTAACCCAGAAAAAGTCATTCAAAGTAAAAATATACTCAAGAATACTGAAGTGGTAAACAAACAAAAAGGTAAGTTAAGCAAACTCATATGGTTAGTTTTAATTTTTTGTTTGTTAGGGGGGGGAGAGAGACTAGGAGACAATAGAGCTATATCATTTGGGTCCCCCCCCCCTTCCTGGCTACTGCTGTTGACCTACTTCACTGGGCATCATATTGATTGTCAGAGAAAGCCTAGGTTTAATTGATAAAGTTAGTTCTAATGAAAGATATGAGTGAAAATTATTCTGTCTTTCAGTTGAAATGAAGAAGAAAAACAGCCGAATGAGAAAATTCTTCAGAAGACTGTTCAGCTGTAGCCGTAAAGAAGACTGAATAATTGGATGAAGGGGTGAAAATGAAATGAAATGAATGGAGTTGTACGTCCTACTTTTCTGCACCATGTGGGCTAATGAAGATAGGCAACACCATGCAGGATGCAATGAGGGACATTTTGCCAGGACAGCGGAAATAGCCTTTTAGCTCTTTTCGATTTCCATCTGTCGAGGGATCTTCAACGTGCAAAGCCTGTAGAACATCCGTCATAGCTGCTCAACAAACACTAAAAATAGGAACGCACCAACAGAAAAATTGACGACTTGGTTACGCAAAAAAAATTCTACGATGATATTTTATATTTTTTAATTAGTCATGATGGCGGCCCGTAAAATTTCGTAAGTGAGATTTTGAGTCGATTAGGTAAATAGCCTTGTAGTTTTAGCTTAGATGTTAAATGTTTAGACGTAGCTAAGAAATCAGAATAGAGAGAACATGCTCTAGAGTATCGTACCAATTGAGACACGTATACTCCATAAGCTGAGCAATGAGGAATGTTGCTGCACATAAAAAGTATATTGACGATTGGAAAATGAGATAGATCATGTGAGAGGAAATACGGACGAACGAGTTTAATGACATGCTTACGATGTAAAATTCGGCTTATTCCGATGGTATCGCAGTTTGCGTGTAGAGTTTGATTTTTTTAGAATTCTAGAAATACACGGAGATGTGGAATCAGTAATTTGTGGGTTCGAAACACTTGATGTGTCTCTGCAGTTGAACTACTCAACTGGGCATCATATTGATTGTCAGAGAAAGCCTAGGTTTAATTGATAAAGTTAGTTCTAATGAAAGATATGAGTGAAAATTATTCTGTCTTTCAGTTGAAATGAAGAAGAAAAACAGCCGAATGAGAAAATTCTTCAGAAGACTGTTCAGCTGTAGCCGTAAAGAAGACTGAATAATTGGAGGAAGGGGTGAAAATGAAATGAAATGAATGGAGTTTTACGTCCTACTTTTCTGCACCATGTGAGCTAATGAAGACGGGCAACGACATGCAGGGTACAATGTGTGAAATTTTACCAGGACAGCGGCACTAGCCTGCTCTTTTTCGATTTCCATCTGTCGAGGGATCTTCAACGTGCAAAGCCTGTAGCACACTCGTCATAGTTACTCAACAAACACTACAAATAGGAATGCACCAACAGAAGAAATGGCGACTTGGTGACGAATTTAAAAAGTTCAAGGGACGTAACTGATGAAAAAACATTCAATTTCAAAAGTTCAAGGGACGTAACTGATGAAAAAACATTTATCTTCAATTTCAAAAGTTCAAGGGACGTAACTGATGAAAAAACATTTATCTTCAATTTCAATAGTTCAAGGGACGTAACTGATGATCATTGATCATGTAGATAATGTGAGAGGAAACGTGTTTAAAAACATGCTTACGATGTAAAATTTTGGCTTATTCTGATGGCATCGATACCTTTATTAGCAAATTTCAATTCAAGGAAGGTGTTGTCACAAGTATAGTATTCCCCAATATAAAATTTCTACAGTAACAACAAGCTATTATTATAATATTTTTTATAGAACCGGTCCCGATCTTTCAATTGAATTCCACAGGATTGAAATATTTAATCCTACATCCGTGTCTGCTTACTTCGTTTTGACACTTCAAATAGTATTTTTAATTCGGGCATATTGCACCCCAAAATATTGGTGAAAAGGTATCACCTCGCATAACAATGTTAAAACATAGATTCTTTAAACCCATAAAATCTAACCCTCCTCTAAACTCTGGGTTGGAACACTGTCTTTTTGTGGCTTGGCGTCTGCTAGGCGATTAGGTTGATGCTATCAGTGTCGCCAATACACTTGAGAAAACCTCCTTACAATCCTTACAATAGCAAACATGGCGCTTACCTGTATCAAAAGGATTCCCTATCAGCTATCAAAAAACTTGAACAAAACAATCGTTCTTTCTGTAGACATCTAAAACAGAAGACAAAATACCATCAGGATACATACAGTTCATTTGTCGATTCTCGTTTCATTAAAATTCAAACACTGTCTCGAGAGTCTAATGTGATTTCAGTGAAAATTTCAAACGATTCCACAAAATCATTGTAATAATTTTTGATATGGAAAGAGAACTGTTATAAACCAGTGAGAAAAAATTGTCAAGACGATGGCACTAAATACTTTTTTCCTACGTTACATGTATACAAAAGGTTCGATGCAGATCTGATTTGTATCTTGGTTAAATTTTAGTTCCGGTTCAAGGCTAGCTGTTGTTTTCGGGGTAAGTCGGAATTGATAAGTTAACATACTTTGATATATATAATATAATTATCTGAATTGGGTAAGAACAACATATAGTCCAACCTCTTAATGAATGCATTACTAACTACTACGACTACCAACAACTACCTAGTTTGTGATATCAGCATCCGCTGGAAGCGAACGTTAACTTGCCATCTACCTACTTACCTGAATGCATTGAAACTAAACAAAAAAGATTGATCACCTTCGATTCTAGATGTATTAGGGCCTGGGTTGTTTCATGCCTGTCTTCACCTTACAACTCGATCTTTCTTTTGAATTCACAAAACACAATATAATCTATTAACGCTCATCACAAGCTACACGTGTTCGGGGTACCCCATCCTCTGGATCCTAGTGGGATGTTTGGTCTAGGGGTCGTTGCATGAATGAAGAATGTCTTCCCCATGGAACTCGATTCTGGTGTTTCCAAATCCCAAGTTTAGCTTTCTTTACAATTCAAATAAAACTACATAATCAACTAAACCTCCTCATAACCTACACGAGTTTCGGGTACACAAGCCTCATCAGGACAGCTAGTTTTTTTACATGAAAAATAGTCCTCTAGAAATTTAATTTCTGAAATATTATCCACGCAACAAAAAAGAAACCTCACCTCGTCTGCCCGACAACTGACAATCTACCACTAAAATTCTGAAGAGACTTTCTTCTTACTTTTTAAACAACTTCGTGTGAATGGCAAACATCTTTTTAACAAGTTGACCTATGACCTCACAAGCTTTTGTACACATGACCTTTGCCCTTTCACCTCGTTTCTATTTGACGGCAGGTTATTTTCATCAGAGTGACATCTGGTTTGCATCTAAACAAACCAATTAAAGGTAGCTGACACCTCGGACTGATTTTTGAGATAATATTTGAATAGGAGTCGAGATAAGATTGTTATTTGTCGGGTATTTTAGAACTTTCTTTTGAGACATTTTCAATACAAAGGTACTTAAAAATAATGACAGTAAAAGAAATATCTCGGTGTATTTTCACTATTCAAATTAAATTCACTATTTTAACCCTGCATTCTTTCGCTTTTCAATAACAAAAAATGTCATATGGGTATGAATATCCAAATGTACTCAAAACAGAGATTGCGACTTTGATCCACTCGAAATCGCTCTCTCGGGATTTTTTTTTATAGAAAAAATTATTCGTTGTTCTGCGTCACAGTTGTATATCATGTCTCAAGTGGTCAAAATCCAGATAATGTTCAATATGAATGTAACCTAGAATGATTATAATGATTTATAAGATAGAGAATGACATACGACCAAAATCGGGATACTTAAGTGTATAGTATGAGTTCATAAATATAGCCCCGGGGCTAATATTTTAAACACCCAGCGTTCACCTGGTGCATCGTTTATTAACACAACATGGTGGCTATTATTCACTCTGTTAGGCTTCCAAACAAACTCATTCAGTAAATTCCAAAATCAATGAGTGTGCCCTCGAAAGATTGGTTGCGGCTTCTAAACCCATTGCTGAAACGTTCTTTCTTATTTTCATACAACTGTGATCATTATTCGCTGTGGGGGTTTTCAAACAGGCGAAATCTGTCGATTCTTAACACCTGGGAAGCTAGGAAGCTGGAAGTTCTTTTCAAACATGGATTTGTAGTTTACTTTTAGTTTATTTTACTCAATGTAGTAATTAATAACCAACATGCAAGAATTTCCTTACAAAAGACTCCGATCTTGTCACCTTAAATTCAACTTAAATACGGAATTCTCGATTTCAATTAGTGAGCAGTAATGCCAGTTTTCGGTGATTAGAACGGCCACTGCAGTTAATGCAATGTTTATGTGAACTAAATCGATACAGGTCGGTTATAGATCATATACAGTCCATGTGACAAGGGTTTGGCCCTACCCAATCAATGTTTTATTGAAGAACACTTCTCTTCACTTAACGAGTATCAAAACCTGACAGCGCCAATCAACCGAGTTTCCATCATTTTAAGGACGAGTTCACGACTCCAATCGATGTAATTGAGACATGAAACACCTCGTATCTAATCTTCATACAATTTTCATCAAACTAATGGATTTCTAGCTTTCTTTAATATTGAATTATCTCCCCATAATATGACCGCTGGAGGGCGTATTGGTACTTGATATATTGACAGCTTTCCTTTTATGTCTGGTTAATAGTTTGGTTAAATATTAGGATACGGTACTGGTCTCCGAGGAACGCGAATAGGAAATAAAGAGCGGTTTAATTACATTTTGCTTAAGACTTATAACGTGCCGCGGACGTAAATTTATTCAAAGGGACGTAATTCGGACGGTAATTACTACAAGGGAGGTAATCCTCGTATAATT